AAATTAACTGATTTAAAATATGGTTTCTTCGCTACACAGGAATTACCATGTTTCAAAAACCGAAGCGAAAAACTTCAAATTTAATTATATAGCTAAATTAAAAGCATTAACCCTGTTTCATCTTGAAGCAAATTTTGGAATAACTTATTTTAAAATTTACTAAGTTATTCGCGCACATACAATTCATAAATTTTTGTTTCCAAGTATACAGAGAAATCCAATCATTTAGACAGGGGAGGTAGCGTGTTCATTTTTATTAACTATTGTTGTATCAATTATGAGTAACGTTCGAAAAAGAGGTTAAGTTTAAGGAGTGTAGTGGTGCATTTTTCAACGAATTTTGACATACCGTTCAACGCATGTCGTCGGGATTTTCTTATCAACGACAAAAACTTTTCGGCATTTTCCATTAAATTCATACTTGTATACTTAAAGACTCTTTTTAAAAGGGGTTTTTGGGTTGGAATACGTTATATTGAACTACAATATTAAAATATTTTTACTCTTAATTACTAATAGATTATGTTTCTTTTTAAATCAAATAAATGTAATAGAATTACCTAAATTAATTTGAAAATATTATTACATATCAAATATAAGTATGCATATTACCAGCTGTGGCACCATGCATTCAGGCAGGGAAGGAAAGGCAAAAAGGGAAAAGGAAAGAAAAGAAGAAAGGAAGGGAAAAAGTAATGCGAGACGGAACATAGGTGATAAGCGAACACACACACACGGCTTAAGAGACAATAAAAAAAGAAAAGGGTTATTTTGGATAAGTGGCAAATGGCGAAAAGAGTGTCATTACAATGACAATGAGATTGAGTGGGTAGGGAAGTGTTATCTAAGGATATGAAACAAACTATTGTTACGGGAAGGCATCTTATTATCAAAACACAGGCCACCGGCCAAGGGAAAAATTCAAGCGAAAATGTTATTTCGATAAGTGACGACAAGAAACAGGCGACTAAGAAAGACCTTGGACAGATATGAAAATTAAAGGCCACCTGCGAGCAATCATTGACCGATTTTCCTACTTGGCTTGCGCGAATGGAATTGTGTTATCAAGAAATGTTCGCCAAAGAAAGTCCACTTGAAAACGTTAGATTTTGATAATTGACAAAACACAGGTGTAGCTCGGAGCCTTAGCTAGATATGGAAAATTAAAATCCCACACAAGCAGTCTCGCTAATTAAACTCTTTTCGACAAAACAAACTTTTGCCCTGCGATAATAAAATTTTGTTATCAGACACATGAACCGAAGGAAAGTGAATGGAATAAGAAATGTTTTTATTTCTTCCTTGGAGACGTCAGACCGACTGAAAACTTGGAGAAAATTCTTTTCTGAGGCCATGTCGGAAAACCAGCCGTCTGATAAATTAGTGATAAACTGCTTGACAAACGCCACGTGTTGAACAAAGAGTTGTCATACTATCCGTTCATGATAACGGCGATTTGAAAGGAAGAAAAAGAGGAAAGAGGAGAGATAATTAATTTTTTAGTTAAGCAAGGTATTTTTTTTTCCGAAACAAAGCCGCGGGTTGTTCACGCCCGACTAAGACGTCATTGGTCAAGTGGTGATCACATGACGCACGAAGAAGGAGGAAAGATACCCGACCAAGACCTCATTGGCCGAGAGTAAGCACGTGACGCACGAAGAAGGCTGTTGACGCCCCCATCCAGAGTATAAGTATGAGAAGCCGCTACGAAGATGTGGGGAGGGCAGTTCACGCCCCTCAGAAGCATGGTGAGAAAGTGGGAGTAAAAAAAAGTTACCAAAAATGGAAAAGAGTGGAAAATCCCTAACCAGAAATAAAAGAGGTGGATATGTATTTAGAATTATCGAGGAACTCCCCGATGCCAACAGACCCAACCCGGTTTTTGTCGGCGTCAATAAAAGCCAGGCCCCAACAGGCAGAAATCAGTTCGGACCCTAGCGGGCAGAAGACAGTTCGTTCGGCCCTGGCGGCAGAGATGAGTGCCCAGTTCGAGCCCTGACAGCAGAGATGAGTGGCCAGTAGTTCGGACCCTGGCGGGCAAAAGAAAGTTCAGGCCCTGACGGCAGAGATGAGTGCCCAGTAGTTCGAGCCCTGGCGGCAGAGATGAGTGTCCAAAGTTCGAGCTCCATTTTCCGGAGTTGAAGCCGCCTCAAGATAGCTGACCATGATTCACGCAAAATTTTGGAATCCTCTTCAACCAAGAACAATTATTTTGAAGAGCGACTTAGAACCAGACCACAGAAATAAGTTTTTCGACTTTCGTCCAAAGACACACCGAAACACAGATTTCTTGGAGAACAAACAACTTGAAGCGTTAAAACTTGCCTTGCGAAAGCGACGTGTCACAATCCACAGAACGGGTCGGGAGATAGATGCAGTCCTATGTATCGAACAACTAGACATAAAGTTTGTTATCTTTTTCTTTGATACTTTGAACTTTTTGAGTTTTCATTTTATTTTCTTTTATGCATATTTGTGTGTTATCACCCCCGTTGAACTCAATTTGCATTACGGCCCCAACATCTGTTTGATCTCGTCTGTCTAAGATCAATTCACAACATGGGTAGGCAGACTGGAGATCAGTGCAGTTACCTTGGTAACCAGGCGTTGGAAGCGAGTTGGGAACGGCGAGGCTGATATTAAATCTAACCAGATTCCCACCCGAATCACCAAAAGGTTAGAACGTCACATTTGGGTGCCGCGACCGATACCAAGCCAGTTGGTCGTCACAGTACGAGACAACACGACTGACGCGACAGGCGAACGTCACGTTTGGAGCAGCGACACCCGGACGGAGCAGCAAGGAGCGAACAGCTGGCGCCGCGGCGAAGACGTCACAATTGGTGCTGTTTAGGGACGTCACAACTGGTGTCGTGACCGGGATAGGACCCTGGAACAGCCACGTCACAACTGGCGCCGTGGTAGATCAGGATAGAACGTCACAGTTGGCGCTTCGACCGGGGTACGACGTCACACAGCTCTCATTTATTTTTTTCTATTTTTATTTTATTTTTAAATATTATTTAAGATTTTTGACAATGTCGCCATAGAATAGCTATTTCATTTCTTTGATTCAGTAAATTTTTATTTTTTATAAACTAAGTAATATATAGTTTCTTGTGCATGCACAAAGTACATGGGTCATTTAATGACATATTCTAGCTTTTGTTATTAATTTCCATTTTACTGTAGGTGATTTATTGGTTTCTTTTAAGTGCCATTATAATATCTATCCTCTGTAAATTTACATTGAGCACTGTTTTCTTTTTATTATATGGAACAATTAGAATTAAGATACCAATAGTTAATGATCTATCTATCTATCTATCTATCTATCTATCTATAACTGTATATATGTATATATATATGATCATTTATATATATGTGTGTGTGTTTGTATGTTTGTATATATATACATATGTGTGTGGGTGTGTATGTATATATTCACATATATATATATATGTGTGTGTGTGTGTGTGTGTGTGTGTGTGTGGTGTAATAGATAAATTATCTTCTAAATTACGCAAAAAATTAAATAAAGCTGACATCCCATTCACTATCTTCAATTTGGTACCCAAATGCTCTAAAATGTTCGTATTGTAGTACAGCATGTCCTATCCAAATTTCTGATTGAGTGAATTACGTCATTGTACTCTTTTTCTCTCAGGTTGTTGCCGATTAACCCTACTATACGGTGCATCCGACAAAATGAAAAAACATAACACGCATGCTCGAAATTAAAAATTTAATATGACGCCATTTTACCCATAGAATTATATACATATACATATATATATATATAGGCAATTTTTAATGATAGTTTGAGCACTCTACGAACATGCTTTATTGATTATTTTTTATCTAATATTTCGATACATTTAATATATTTTTAAAAATTCCGATTGGTATTTGTAAATATAACTTCCCAGGGTTAAGCACTCTCAGTTAAGTGTAGCCGATTTAAACGACGTCATGGCGTCAGTTTAATCTGTTGATCGTCAGTATCCACTTTTTTATTTTTACATACATTTTATCCCAGATTTTGAGCAACATTAATATTGCATATATTTTAAATATATATATATATATATATATATATATATATATATATATATATATATATATATATATATATATATATATATATATATATATATATATATATATATATAAAATTATATCAAATTTATATCAAACATTATAATCTTTAGGAACCCCCAAAATAACACTTTCAAAGTTAAACAAAATAACAGCGTCTGTTTCCAACCTTTTTTTACAAAGAAAATTAGTAACAACTTCTCTCATAATTTCCTACTCTCTTTTTCTCTCTATGGTTTTTCCTTCTCTACCCCTTCGATATCAATATATAACTTCCGTTAAGTTAACCGTTTAAATGTGTCAATATCTGCTAACTCACTCATGTCTTCTCTCTCCCCCCTCACTTCCTCACTTCCTTAATTTACATTTAATACGGCCCGTCAAAAATGTGTAAATTTTCTTTTCATTTTTTGGTTGGAAGTAAAGTCTGATGATCCGCAGACCTTTAAAAGAGCTGTGGTGAAATAATTTATTACATGGAAATTTAAATTATTTGCTCTGGATTTACATTGAGGTCTCTGGATTTTATCCTCCTCTGGTTTACCCATACGGATTACCTAGTTTTTCTTAAACTATATATATATATATATATATATATATATATATATATATATATATATATTTGAAGTTTGTAAATACTTACAGAATAAGAATGGTCTGTGGTTTATTTAAAACAGTGTGGTCTTAGAATTCTGCTTGCTTTAATAATGAGCATGCTCGGCAAATACATCGAAGCATAAAACTGGAAATCAACACGTTGTATTGTTTCCTTCGCAAACCCAATCTATCTATCTATCTATCTATCTATCTATCTATCTATCTATCTATCTATCTATCTATCATTCCGTTCATATCTATCTATCTATCTATCTATCTATCTCATTCCGTTCATATCTATCTATCTATCTATCTATCTATCTATCTATCTATCTCATTCCGTTCATATCTATCTATCTATCTATCTATCTATCTCATTCAGTTCATATCTATCTATCTATCTATCTATCTATCTATCTATCTATCTATCTATCTCACTCCTGTGTGTCAATCTATTCTCAACTTTTATGATGTAGATTAATTATTCGCAATAAAACTGATATTAAATACCTTATGTTGGCAAAATATCATTGATATGAGCAATGTATAATGCTAGTTTCACTCTATAATATATTTATTAACAATATTGATATCTTTTTGCGTTAGTGTTTATTATTGTCCAAACGCTGTAAGTGCAGCATTTTATTATCTTTTTAAATAGTTAATATGATAAGTAATATAATAAGTAATATATTCCACAGAAACATTATTTTAATATCACATTATTCCATATATTACGAGGGTAGGTCAAAAATTATCATCACATGCGTTATAATATGACTTTGTGCGTGCCACAATATCTTCTGCTCCTGCCTGCTTATAGTTGCTATAATTGCGGTCACACAATCGAAGTTTGATCGGGATCGCGCCAGTTTTCTTCGTGTTGTTATAGTATAAACATAATCGTTCAGCTAACACTGTGCACCGAGAAGGAACATGGAGCAATGGTGCGAATCTGCAGAGAATCTGCTACCTCATCGATGATAACTCGCCGGTTCACCATTGCTTACGGTCAAATCACGCTGAAAACACCGGTTCTCCTTCGATCACCGAAGTTAAGCATCGTAGAGCCAGGTCAGTACTTAGATGGCGGACCGCTTGGGAACACCTGGTACTGTAAGCCCCCAAAGTCCAACCCTTACCTCACAGTCGGTGTGTGGGGGGGGATAAACGGTAGTGTCAGAGCTATGCCGTCCGGAACTTCGTTCCTGGTAGGGCCACCCAAGGCGGACAGGTCTGACACACACGCCGGCTAACAAGGGCTCTGGTGAAAATTCAAGGAGCGTCTGCATCGGTAACCGGCGGCTTCTGGTTGTTCCTGTCTCTGCGTCTGTGGGAATCCCGCGGCAAGAAAGAACGTTATCCGAGTAGGCCTGGGTACCCTACTTCTGTAATTTATCCCAAGAATCTTCTTCTCATAACAGGAAGAAGCCGGCTCAATCCGCCCAGGGTGAATGCCGCATCAGTACAGTACAGTAGTACCGGTTCACCATTACCATCTCTCGAACTTGCTTAATCTTCTCTTCAGTGCTGGATGTTGACGGGCGTCCGGCTACTTCTCCGTTCGTCACGCTTCTCCGGCCACTTTTAAACTTCTCAGTCCACTTATATACACTTCTACGCGGTTGAGCCCTGTGGCCGTACTGATAACATGGCATCTTCTTTGGGCCCGATAGAAGAGTGTCCTATGACACACCTTCCGTCCAGAGAAGTCGTAGCAGTGTTCTTCGCTACTCCTTGTTGCACACTGCTAGCGGAGCGGGCATGTTTACATTGTAGTTATAATATAACAGCGGGCCACTTGTTTTCGAGGATAACCATCTGTTAGGGCGGCTAGCCAATCTCTATTGCAGATGCTCGCTCAGGCTCATCTGTGTTTGCTCAACACCTACATAGCCCACCTGGGGTTTATACTGCTACTATGCTGAGCAGTTTCTGGGAGTAGCAGAAACAAAACTGACGTGATCAAGCTCAAACTTCGATTACGTGATCACAAGAGCCCCGACTGTAAGCAGGCATGAGTAGAACGCAGTGTTATAAATCGAATGACATGTTATAGCGAAAGTGCAGATAATTTTTGACTTACTGACGTTCGTGAATAAAATATTTTTTTTATTTTATTATTTTACATAATAATATGATTCTTCAAAATTCTATATTTATCATTCTTTCAACCACCACCGTTTCGAATTTAACATTAATTGTTGAAATGTTTACTGCATCTCAGATATTTTCTTTCATTTTATACACTTTTCTATTCTAACATACGGTCTTGTTTTTATTATAAATTACATTTAACTTTGGATAAATATCTTTAGAGTGTAGGACGTATTTCCATATTTTGATATATTAGAAATAGTTATGTGTCATGCGTGAGACACGCTTAAACGATCATTTATCTTTTGATACATGACAGGCAGATGGTTGACATTTCTTTCTGCGGTAGACTAGTTGTCATCCAATACAAACCCGTTGTGTCCAGCTATTTCCCCATAGCAGCGGGGAGAAAAAGGGGATTCATACCTTTCCCAAAGGTATTAGCACGTAAGTGAATGTAATGGATTCCTCAATAAGAGTTGCTATCCAATGCTCCACCGTACCTCCTGCCTTAGAAATAGTACTTGTTAATGTTTATATTATCAGGAAATATTAACATTTCCTTAGGAAACATTCGGCATTCACAGATCGAGCAGATAGTTCTTTCGGTTGCAATTATGTTATGGTAATTTACCCACGCGCGCATATACTCTCCTAGCTATATATAGGAGCAGGTACTGCCTTTTGGAGAGGGAAATTTCCAGCAGTTGGACCGAATATTCTTGCTCTAACTCTCTCGTTTGTATCACTGTTTCTGTTAATATATTTAACTCAATTCCTCTTTTTGTGTCTTTATTTGTGGCCCTAACAAGGCCACAAGAAATTCATAGGAATATTTTTCTTAAAATAATTTTTCGGGGGAGAATGTTTCTTTCGAGTATTGATAGAGGTTGCGGGGGGGTTCTACCTCTTTTTTTTTGACGGTGTATGGAATGATAATATATAAATTATGTTATTATTTTCTTTCTGTAACATGAAATATCCATTGTAGTTGTTTCTGCGGTTGAAAGATCTCGAATGCCATGGTCTCTGCTTTTTGCTTATCTTCTTTATGATTCTGTAGATCCACTTCACAAATATTCTAAGAAAGGTGATCTTTGACAAAACCATAAGGCTTCACTCGTTCGAAACCTTTTCTTAACCATTGATCACAGAAATAAATAATGATCATAGAAAGCGGTTGCATACCGCTGACAGGATAGATATTTCTAAACGGGTTTGGCGCCATGCATGACGTGCACATGAAAGTGTCGGTCGGATGATTTGTTCGAAAAAGAATGATCCTCGACCCAGGCTTCGTTCGCTCGAAATCCCTTTTGATCATTGATCTGAGAAAGCAGTTGCTTACAGCTGGCAGTTTAGATATTTCTGAACGTCACGTAGCGACATGCATATCACCCATGTGATAAACACTATCCGACAAGGCTGGGGCACCTCGATGTAATGTAATGGTTAGAATGCCTGTCTTACTAGATCAATTACGGCGGAGTAGTGAGTTCAATCCTCACTGGATACCCCATACCTTCGGCCTTGTGCCACATCTAAGCGGGGGGAGGGCATCCCGAGGTGCTGTAATGGTTAGAAAGATTGTCTTGCTAGATCAATTACGACTGAGTAGTGAGTTCAATCCTCACTGGATACCCCATACATTCGGCCTTGTGCCACATCTAAGCCGGGGGGGGGCACTTCGAGGTGGTGTAATGGTTAGAAAGTTTGTCTTGCTAGATCAGTTACGACTGAGTAGTAAGTTCAATCCTCACTGGATACCTCATACTTTAGGCCTTGTGCCACATCTAAGCCGGGGGAAGGTATCTCGAGGTGGTGTAATGGTTAAAAAGCTTGTCTTGCTAGATCAGTTACGACTGAGTAGTGAGTTCAATCTTCGCTGGATACCCCATACTTTCGGCCTTGTGCCACATATAAGCCGGGGGAGGGCACCTCGATGTAGTGTAATGGTTAAAAAGCTTGTCTTGCTAAATCAGTTACGACTGAGTAGTGAGTTCAATCCTCACTGGATACCCCATATATTCGGCCTTGTGCCACATCTAAGCCGGGGTGGGGGCACTTCGAGGTGGTGTAATGGTTAGAAAGCTTGTCTTGCTAGATCAATAACGACTGAGTAGTGAGTTCGATCCTCACTGGGTGTCCCATACTTTCGGCCTTGTGCCACATCTAAGCAACGCTTGGAAAATCACTATCCGACGAGGCTGGCAAGGTAGGTAATATTCAGCTTTGCGGGATGTGAAGTCGCAGAGTTCTAGAAGATTATTTATTTTCATCTTATTGGTTATGCCTGTTTACATCAAACGCGTTTTATTCAACAACTAGCAATAAACCACTGTACATATCTTGATAGTATCACCTTTTTTTTTAAAGAGTCCCACAAAAGTGTTACGTAAATTCTGAGGAAAATATGATTTTTACTTGTTTCTTTCTATTTCATGAATATTTACCTATTTCCGTAAAATATGTCCAGATAACCTTTAGGCCCATCCAGTAAATTCCTATATTTATCAATATAATTTACTGTTGAAATATCAATATACATGTACTTCATTACATCATTTACACGTTTTTTTTTTGTTGATAGGCTGCTTTGTTCTATATGAATCATGAACATTTAACGTTATTTAAAGGCAAAAATATTTAGGACTGTAATAATCTTCTGAAGATAATCAATATTTACAGATGCACGTTCTAATAATTAACCCACAGGTGGGGGAAAACTGGCTTCATAAGTTTCCCAAGTATATTTGTGCTTAAGTGAATGTAACTAATCCGACTGAAATTGGAGCATAGTTCTGCAATTTGCAATTCAGTGTTATTTTACACCATATGTACGTCCAAGTTAACAGGACATGGTATTCCCAAGTAGCCAGTAATAGATGTACTGAGAAGGCTTGACGTTAATTAACTATGGCGATCATAAGAAACAGGATTTTCAACATGATATGGTTGTAAGCCGCGTGACTTTGCGTTATCTAATTAAATGTGTTAGGTTATTTCTAGAGTTTATAAAATGTGCTGTATATTTTATCGATGTTATATATATATATATATATATATATATATATATATATATATATATATATATTATCGATGTTTATATTCACGCTATTGAATGTTTTCGCAGCGAAATCCATTTTCTTGTTTACAAAGTGTATTTAGGACATCATTATAGTCAGTTTTATCTTCTTATCTCGCAACGTTTCTATTATCTATCTATTTATTTTAAGAACAAATAATATATATATATATATATATATATAATTATTTATTTAAAAAATATTTAAAAATATGATTCCAACGCTACATAAGAGTTCTCATGTTTATGCTCTACTTATGTATCGAGCAATATTTTTTAAAATAATAGCAAAAATACTA